CAGATGGAAAAGTCGCCATTGCGGGCCTCTTGAACGGGCTGTGCCTCTTCTACGAGACAGAAGGCTTGAAGCTCCAAAGCCAGATACATGTTCGGTCCTCTCGTGGCAAAAATGCCAAGGGCAGCAAAATCACCGGTATACAGACCATGTACATCCCCCCACCAGGTCCCATCAAACCGCCCCCTTCCAATGGCCCGACATCAGGTTCAGCATCCGCCCCATCCTCAGAGGCTGCGAACCACGGAGAGGCCAAGGTGCTCATCACCTCCAACGACAGCCGTATCCGGATATACAACCTGCGCGACAAGTATCTCGACGTCAAACTCAAGGGCCATGACAATGCGTACAGCCAGATCACGGCCAGCTTCTCTGATGACGGTAAATATGTCATCTGCGGTAGCGAGGATCGAAAGGCGTTTATTTGGAGCCTCACCGGCAATGAGGCGTCATTCCAGGACAAGGACAAGTCGCCCGTCGAGTATTTCGAGGCCCATGGGGACATTGTCACAACGGCGGTGTTTGCACCGACTAAGACAAGGATGCTTCTCGGTCAGAGCGGCGATCCGCTCTACGACCTATGTAATCCGCCGCCTGTGACGCTCCGGAGTCTCGAGGAGGCCGCTAGTGCAGCTGCAAGCCAAACAGAGTTGAGCGCCGAGGACCACAACACCCCAGTACTGTCCGAGGTCATGTCCAAAAAACCAGAGCAAAGCCCCGCGTATATAGCGAGGTCCACACACTACGACGGGAACATCATCATCACGACCGACGACTCGGGCATCATCAAGGTGTTCCGCCAGGACTGCGCATTCAACAAGCGCAAGCATGAGAGCTGGGAGACTGGCAGCACCTTCAGCCGAAAGATGGGATCCCACCACGGCTTTTTGTCGAGCGGGCTGGGGCGCAGCGTTAGTATCATGACCAGGACCAGCGCAAGCAGTGCCGCGCAAAGCAGGACGCACAGCAGGCGCGGGTCTCTCAGCCAGGTACTGGGACCTATTGCCGTTGGGTCTCCGCAGGCAAGCGGCGGGAGCTCAGACCGTATTCTGAGCTGGCGACAGGGTATCGAGAACGGCGGCGACAGGCGGACCAGCTCGATACTGAATAGCTCAGTCATAAGCGCCAGCGCGATAAGTGGAGGCGGGGCGGCAACGCCCACGCACAGCGAACGGTCCCTCAGCCCCAACAAGACAAGCCGCACCCCGATGAGTCCCAGCGCTGCAAACCTGGCCAGCGAGGCGAGGAAACAGCCGTATGCCGGGTCGTCTCCCGCAGCATCGCGGCTGACCAACGTTGTCACGAGTCCAAGTACGAGCGCGTTTAGCAATGTCCAGACGCCCGAAAGACCCTCGATGCGCCTGATGAAAGACAGTCGACAAGAGCCAAGGGAGAAGGAGCAGGACAAGAAAGACCGAGACGGAGATAACCAAGTAGAGCAACAGACGCACTCCCCGCCAGCCCCGGGTTTCACGTATCACCCTGCAGAGGACAGCGGTCGGGATGGCGATGTGGCTACTGCTCCTCCTGTTGCTGACGACGACGCTGACGAGAATGACGAGAGAGCTGATGAACTGAGACTCGATCCTGCAAGCGCGAGCTATTCGTTCTGGAACCTCAACCGCTGGCGTGGGATCACGGGGTTTAGAAGTGGAAACAATAGCTCGACTTCCGGTCCACATCACAATGGACACGCACGAAGTAGGAGCACAGGCAGCGCGCTCGGCTACAAATCACGTCAGCAGCAAATGGACGGGGCAAATGATGATACAGATACGGACAAGGAAGGGGCATCTTCCCCCTCTCGGAGAAAGAGTTTGGGGGTTCCACCTTCGGGGGAGCTCGGTAATGGCTCAGGGTCGTCAAACGAAAGGAAACGAGGCCATGACAGAAGGGTCTCGCTTCCTGCTTCGTCCTATCTCGGGAGACAAGCCGAGGCAAATGGGGAGGATGTTGACGGCCAGGGCCGGGGTGGTCTAAGTCCCCCGGTGCCTATCATCCGAGCTCCTCCCCCAGATAGTGAGAATAACGCCACGGGTAGGAGTGGGTGGAATCCCATCCAGCTCAGACGTGATGGGTCGCCGTACAGACACCTCTGGAGCAGGGGAAATTCGACTGTCAGTGGGCTGAGCGAGGAGATGAGTGCCGAGATTGAGGAGGAGGATGAAGATGAGGATGGAGATAATGCTAACTATAAGGATGGCGATGGCGATGGCGAGGAGATGAAGTGCAAGATGTGTGGTGGTCTGGCGTTTAAGGGGCGCAAGGTCGCGGGCCGGCAGAGGCTCAGCTGTGGTCGGTGTGGGGCGCTCGTTGACCAGTGATGGTGGTTGGATGGTGTTTTGGCCGAGGCGTTTTGGACTATTAGAGGTGGGGACGGTGGTGTTTGGGTTTGTAGGATACCATGGTTGGATGAGGGTTGGGTAGAAATGCCTAGAGGGTGGAAAGCATCGGTTGTCATTCTGCCGTGGCGTGGTCGAAGTCAAGTTTCCCTACCACAGACCGGTCGTGCTAGTCCAGTGGTTGGGTCAACCAACCTGCAATTGCACGAAATTACTTGAACGGGTGTGGGAATACATCCTTAACTCAGCAGCTTTGAGTATTGAGTACCTATTGAATACCTGTAGTGTTGTAACGATAGTGATTTGTAATTAATTAGAGGAGTCCTAGTGGTAGAGGCAATACCCATTTCGTGTTATACGGGAGGTGGACTTGTGAGATGTCTTTTCAAGCATTCAAGTTTATGCCGATCCGTGGTGCGACCGGGATCAAGTCAGTTAATGAGGTGTAATGGCTGGTAGCACCTTGGAAAAGAGAATAAGTGGTTCCTTCGTCCTTGTCGCTGCAAAAGGAGGCTCAAGTAGGATCGGGAGCTCCAGTCCTTGGCAAGAAGGCCTAGGACGGGACCACGAGGCGCACAAGGTGAGAGACTTGCAGGATGAAAAAAGAAAGGGGCAACAGCGATAACAATTAGCTCCGATCTTTTGTTTGGTTATTTTGTTACTTAGGTAGGGATGCGAGGGTACTCGTGTGATCCTTCAATGATCAACAATCATGCATGGCCGAGCAGTGTTAAACATGCTTCCCGGTTTCTTTTCATTATCAGCCTGACCATGGGAATCAGGTATGGTACTAGCGTACCTACTCAGCAGCCCACTTGTCCCAGTCTTACAGCGTAATCGTCTCTTTTCCCGTGCTTTTCTCTGACTTGCTCCTCATCTTTGTACCTGTCGTCGTCAGTGTCGTCATCAGTGTCGTCGTCAGTGTCGTCGTCTCGTCGTAGCTTCGTCAAGCGTATGGTAGGGAAGGGAGGTTTGTTTGTTCATGACTCCTATGCGGCAGGTCAGCATTAGTCTTTGCATCGCACCGTTCAGACGACAAATTCAGCCTCCCATTGGATGCATGGAAAAAACAAGAAGAGCAACAAACAAACGCACCTTAGCCAGCTCCCCCAGCGCAGCCGCAACGAGAGTCAAACCCCGGGAATCCGCCCCCTGGATGCGCGCGACGGGCTCGTCGCGCCCGACCACGTCGACGCCGCCGGGCTGCCCGTCCGCGAAGACGAGGAACGTCGGGATCGATCGCACGTCGTACTGCTTGGCGATCTCGGGCGTCAGCAGGTCCATGTCGACCTTGGCGAAGACCAGCTTGCCCGGCACGCTATGCGTCTTGGCGAGGGTCGCGAAGAGCGGGCCGATGGCTTGGCAAGGCGGGCACCACGATGCCCAGAAGTCGACGATGGCGTATTTGTTGGTTGTTAGGAGGGTTGTTAGGTGGGCTTGTGAGGCTACGGCTGTTGGCTCGGCCATTTTTTTGTGATACAAATGATGATGGGAGGTAGGTGGTGTTTGGTGGGTGATGTTTGATGCACGCACGGTCGATGGTGATGGGGCTTGCTTGGCTGCAGTGCACGGTGATTGTTGTGGTTGGAGGTTTTGTTTGCAGGTGAGGTGTTGCTGGGAGGTGGAGAGCGCGGGGCAATAATGGATTGTGGACAAGCTGTCGTGGGGGCGTTTGTTTCGTTCGTTATTCAGCTCTGGTAGGTACGAAACAGCTCAGGGCTGAGAACGCGGCACGGCGAGACGGGGGGGTCGGGCTGTCTGGATCTGGAAGCTGACATCCATTGCATGTAGTGGACGCCTGATGCAGTGTAATTATATCAAACGAAGGAGTGGATGGGGAACCCACTTTTTGCTCGCTCTTTCTCCCTCAAGTCCTTTCCCGTCTATTTTGTTTCGCGTGTTTTTTGAGGGTGTGTGACCCCTTTGGAAGCAACGGTCACCGAATCAAACCACAAAATTAACTACATCGCATGTCACGGGCGCTTGCAGTCATTGCAAGGCTCAACTTGTGTAGCAGTGGCAGCCTCGAACGAGGCCCTCGGTGGTAGCTGCCGCCGGATTTGTCAATTGCTCGGAGGCTGTGGTTGCTTGGTCGGGCCGAACTGAACGTGCCGGTTGTTGTCGCTGTTATCGGCAGAGCTTAACATTTCCAGTGCCTCCTAGTGGAAAGTGGTCGAAACAGGATCGCATAATGGTCGTGATATCTCGTAAGAACAGCCCAAACTATGTGTCAAAATGTTACCAAATATGAGCTCACATGGCCGCCACACGACTGCCTTGGGTAAATAGATGCGGCTTGTAGTTTCTCGAGACTCGGAGCATTCTGATTAAGGTAACGTTAGTGGCTTGCCACTGTTTGCGGTATGAATAATGATCATGTGCACAATCCCGGCCACATCATAAGGTTCCGGTCGGAAGACGTCAAAATGACTCCAAAATTATCTCTGTTACGGTCCTGCTGTGGGTGGTTGGGTCCCCGAGACTGGACATGATAAACAAACCCATATAAAGTCATTCTGGGAAGGCGCAACCTTGGTATGACAACATCGCTTCCTGGCATCATACTGGCCGCGCCTTCCACAAGCATTCGAGCATGAACCCATGTAGGCATGGTCAACACACATCCTTTCATCAGCAGCCAAGCACCATCTGGTGCCTTCTTCTCCTGTAGTATAGTGGTCAGTATAGGGGCTTGTCAACTTGCGTTGTGCTCGCCCTCGACCCGGGTTCGAATCCCGGCGGGAGAGATGCTTTCCTTCTTTTTTGATGTTTCTTTTTTCGTTTTGAAAACTTTGTATCTTGTCAGCGTCTTATAATATGTCTTCTTCAGTCCCATATTGACCCCACATCTCCATACTCCAGAGTACATGATGATTCCTGCCTTATCTGGCCCTGTTTGCAGGAGTCGGTCCAGAGTACTCGCCCTTCATGTCTGGGTTGTGGTTCCACACGAACTCAGCAAACGCTTGTACCGTCTCTCAGCACACCCAGCCCTACAAGCAGGGGCAGATGCTGCGGTTCACCTGCCTATCATATTGCGGCGTGGTGGAGGCGGTTGTTTCATCCGCATCATGTCTTGGCTCCCCTTGCCCACAAGCTCCATCGCGAGGGGGGCCCCCGGCATTTTGTATTAGTTGCGGGCGATATGGGCGCTTCACTCTCCAGGGTCTTACCGCGAGGCTAAGTTGGTCGATCCCGGTAGGGCATTTGTTTCGTCGGCGCTTAAGACACCTCCATCAACCCCCCGTTGACACCCACTTGGGAGAGCTGCGCCCCCCGACGTCTGGTACCGTCAGGATGGGCAAACATGCATGGCTGCCAATGTGACACCAATGTCCTGCATCTGGTCCACCCTAGGAACAAACGGACAGGGAAGAATGAGGCTCTGTCGCGTGTCTTGTATGCACACATGTTGTGTGACTACCGCCGCACAAGCTGTCTGGGACAGCCTCGTGTGATTGGCCCCCCTTTTTCTCTTGCTGACGTCTTGTCGTGCCCTGCCCCTAATTCAACCTAGCCAGAAAAGGGCCGGATCGGAAATGGTTGCGGCTGCAACTGTCATCTTGCATCCATGTTTTTAACTGACAGATGCAGCAGCGCCCGGGCAAGCCTTGAGATGCGTGTCTCGATATTTGTCCTGATAAGTGCTTGCTGGGGGCAAATAAGCGCCCTCAGGAAGCATCTGTGGCTCCGCGTTGCTCTATTTTCAACTCTTTCTCCATCCACTAGGCCTGGCTACTTCGAGGTTGCCCAACATAAAACACTTCGCAGGCTTGGTGATGGCATCATGTCGGTGGCAAGGCTCTTTCCGGACACCCATTCTATTATATCTCACCTCTAACCCGCGCAGCGAGACGCTGGCGGCGTCTACCCTCGCGCCATTTGTATCAGTTGTGGTGGGCCCGAACGCCAATGGCCGTGAACGGGCTCGAGATTCAGGGGCTGTAAAAAGCAAGCAACGGATGCTGACACGATGTGACTTCAAGGCGGCGTGACGCCAGGCCTCCCTTGTTCTTTGCTAGCGGAGAGGCCTTAGGAGTAAGGCCGTCGTCGAGGGGAGACCGCAACTGACTGGATATCATCAAACCAATTCCACGGTCTTCGTCTGGGCTGTTTCTCGCACAGGAGCCCGGCATGCCTCGACTGGATACCAGACGGCATCACATGCTACGAGCCAAACGAGATAGCGAGTGTGACGATGCGTTTGCCGGGATGTGCGAGCCGGATGGAGCTCAAGTGATGGCCTGTCTCAGATGGCTCCTATCGATAGCGTCAGCTGCTGGCCGAGATACATATTGTAATCTGTCTACAAATACACATGTGTCAACTGGGAAATTGGAGTTTGGGTGCCACACCGATCTCGCTGTCTCATGACCCAGTCCAGTCTCAGTATCAATCGACTCTGACTTCAGCACGCGGTCGTCCTCACTGGGATATTACCTATGCTGGTTTCAGCACTGCATCAACAACGCCCTTGTGATTACACCCACAAGCTACATGCCTCCCTAAGTACCAAGATGGCGGACCAAAACTCGTTCCAATTCGGCGTCGAGATCGAGCTCCTGATGGGCAGCCGCAAGAAGACGCACTCGAACTGGAAGTCGCTGGCCAAGGACCTGAGCAAGCGGCTCCTGAAGGCGGGCATATCCAACCACATCAACGAGAGCAACGACAAGTCGCAGGACAACTACCGCGAGTGGTCCATCACGCAGGAGATCACGATCCCCAGCCAGCCTGCCAAGAGCCTCTGTCAGTTTAATTCCTTCTGCTTATCTCTCTCTCTCCCAACCCTCTTTCTTTTCAAGCTCGGAGCAAGTTCTCCGCCATGGCTTTAATTATCCACCGGGAGTGGATCCCAGAGCTGCATACGCAGACCCGATACCCCTATCTCGTGCATGTATATCATACCCGATCGCGTTCCCTGTGCTCTCAACCAACCACTTTGTTTACCCTCCTTTTCCCCCCACCCAAACTAACCTCCCCGCTTGCCCGCAAAGTCGGCCTGGAACTCGTCTCCCCAATCTACTCCATCTACGCCTCCTGGGCCACCGACCTCGAAACCATTTTCACCGTCCTCCACGGCAGCTTTACCCTGCACCCGTCGCCACACTGCTCAACACACGTGCACATCTCGGGCACCCCGCACCCTCTCTCCCCGTCGGAACTCGCCGCCCTCGCCAAGAGCGCGCTCTACTACGAACCGGCGCTCGACGCGCTCGTCCCGTCCGCTCGCCGAGGCGCAGCCTACTGGTGCCAGTCCAACCGGTCCAACCCGTCCTTAACAGGCCTCGACCTCGCGACGTGTCTCGACGCGCTCGACACCGCGGGCGGCGGCAGCGTGCGCCACGTCGTCGAGGCGATGAATCTCTTCCCCGCCAACTCGGCCTACGGCCACGCCCATGGGCGGCAGAGGGACTTTGTCCGCGGCAAGGTGTATAAGTGGGATTTCACGGGCATGATGAGCAGCGGTAGGGGCACGGTTGAGTTCAGACAGGCGCCCGGGTGTGTATGCGCCGAGGATGCCGTGGGCTGGGCTACGCTGGCGGTGGCGTTTGTGGTGGGCGCCATGGCGGTTGGGCCGCAGCTTGGCGGAGTCGGGGTCGGCGAGGGCGCGTCGGCCGAGGAGCTTTGGGCTTTGCTTGCTGGTGGTGCCGAGGTGCTTGGGTGGGAGAGTCTGGGGGCTGCGGAGGGCTTGTTTGGGCGGGTTGGGTAGGGAGGCTGGTGTTTTCTGTTTGCTGTGGTTGAGTTTTATTGTTTCGTTTGTTGGTTTGTGTTGCTGTGGTTGTTGTGCACTATCGTTTTGGTTTTTGTTTTTTCCATGGCTTTTATGGTGATGTTTGCTTTTGGGGTCTGGTGGTGTTTTGCCACCTCCTTTCTTACCCCTTTTTCACTGGTTCCAGTCTTTGTCATGGAATACTTGCGATGGATACTACCTGGTAATCACGAGATGAACATCAAAGATGGGGTAATTAAGAGATTGGACAACGGAGCCCCATCTTTTACATTTAATTACTTGCCTTGCAACAAGTAGCAGTCAGGTTTGACATCCGGGTGCCAGTGGTCAGTCCGTCGCCCCTTCCTGTGCGTACCCTTAACCATTTGCCGGCCCGGGCACGTCGGGCTTGAAATGCATCATCAGGGTCTTATTGCCCATCCTCTCGACCCGCCGCTGCATCGCCCTCTCCGCCCTCCGTCCCTTGTCCGTCTGCTTCTTCTGCGTGGCGAGCACGGCGCGCTGCTCCGCCGTCGACAGATGCATCAGGCTCTGTCGGTCTGCCGCCCGGAGCTGCACCAGTTGGCGCGACGTGAAGTCGGCGCGCTTTTCCGATTTGGTCATGGCGGTTGGATGAGCGGCCTCCTGGACTGTGGAGTTGGGACCGGAAGTTGGTTGATGTGATAGTGTGCTTGCAGATGATGGCGTGTATTTGCCGTGCTCGAGGTGGGCCTCTGCATCTCCTGTCTCGGGTCGGTGATGGCGAGGCCGTGATTGCCTGGCCGTTCGATGCGAGAGGAGTTTCCCTGATGCTAGGCGGAGTGTTGTGTCGGTTGGCTGTACAAATGCCGGTTTTCTGACCTTGACCGACACCTTGGAACGCTCGTCGTCGTCCCCGGAGAGCTCTGCCGTATCGCTGGCCTCGTCTGAGTCGTCGTCGTCGTCCTCCCCTTCCGAACTGACATGATCGTAAAAGTTGCGAAACTCAGAGTCTTCATCCGACAGGTCAAACTTGCAGTGCCCCTTTCCCATCATGTGCTGCTGCGCTGCTTGAGCGGTGCTGCGTTGTGTGCTGCAGTAGAGACACTCAAAGTCGCCAAAGATGACGAGGTGGAAATATGTGATCAACGTCTCGATGTCAACTACCAGCCGGTCTTTATCTGGGATAAATAACCCGTGCGTCTTCAGCATGTGTTCCAGGTTGTCGTTGACATCCGAGTTGACTGTGTTGCAGAAAAGGCATTGCGATGAATCAAAGTGTGGTGCTTCCATGTCGGGTGCGTTGACTTCGTTCCCCTCTTCGGCAGTAACATCTCGAGTACTGCCAACTGTAGACGAGCCACTTTGCTGAGCGGGGAGAGCTTCGGGGTTTGTTGTAGTTTGGCTAGAGGTTCCGGAACCGGTCCCCGTGGCTCCAGCGCCACTTTTAGTTGATGGATTCATTTGAAAGTACGTTTGGGTTCAATATGTAACAATGGATTTTGGAGATGGAATAATTGAAGCTCTGTACTGCTTGATGTGGGCTTTCAAATCCAGAAGCCGGAAAGGAGTGATGATTAGAAGCTATAAATCGTGTTTGATAAAATCCAGCCAAGTACCCATTAGAGACAAATAGGAAGGTGGTCACAAACTCGGATCGTTAGGGCGGAGTCACTCCAAATCGACATCTCGGACTCATAGCGGGAGTGGAGACTTGGTCGTGTTGTTGCTTTACGACAGTGGTCTGACTGCGGATGTGAGTCATTGTACACGTATAGCGGCCATTTGATTAATTGGGGTAAACTGTCGTCATTCTGCAGCTCCAGACAGGACCATGAATTGAGGCGACACCAGACCCCGCCACCGGTTGGAAATTTGCTTTTTGCCTTTGTAAATTCGGGTCGATCTTCAGCTTGGTAGCTCCAATTAAACACTCTTCAGCGACAATATGTGTGTGCTTTTGGTCAACATCGTATGCTTCATTAAGCGGTACATTTACTAATGGGTGTCTGTCTTTGAAGTGAGGTAGTAATTACCTAAGAAAAAAGCATCAAC